GTGTATAAATGTTGCCAAAATCCAGCCCTACAGTATATTCAGTTTATAATTCCGCAAGGAAACAGATGCAAAGTCACTTTAAAAGTGTATTATGCATGTAAAGAGAGTCTGACTTCAGATAAATTACATGCTTCTACGGTATCTTTGCCCAAGATATCAGACTCATACTCAGGTCCAGACTGTGGAACAAGCTGTTCCCCCAAGACACCAGACCAGGGGCTTTGTGTGGGAATTTATAATCCCTGACTGCAGTAGGTTATCCCAGTGGAACTGCTTTATGAACATACCATCAATAAATTTCTTGCCTCTGGAATAAAACTGTGATATATAGTAGAAAACTTCTTAAATTTCAGCAGTCTGTTTCATAACTCAGGGGAACACTGGTATATATGCAGAACTCATCAATTCACTAGGGACTCAAGATAGGGAAAAAGATAACAATCCAAAGAAAACCAAGATTTTTAAATGTCAAATATTAAGACAAATTCAGACACACAGTTTCGATGTGGATATTGTGATCCAAATGTAGAAAACCACATAATTATGGATAGTAAAAATCTTTAGGGATGTGCATCTCCATCTCTGAGGTGATGTGATACAAATCTTGATGCATTGCCAACTATGCAACAGATTAAAGACATATATGAAGCAACTACTCTTGCGATATGATACTATCCACCCTTATTTCGATGCAGTGCGATTAAACACGATATGACGTGATGCATCACCGGACATACCTCCGACTTGTGCAAGACTTGGCTGAGAGACTTGCGGAGAATTGGCCACTGATATCAGTGGAGACCTGGAGATGAGGGAACATTTCTAAATAATAAAGGCATAGGGCTACGATTAATAATGAAATATTTTTGTGACCCAGGCTGTGTGCTGCTTCCCGCTTGATAACTCTAGTGGACAGGGCAGATCAGGACCCTCCCATCGTAACACTCTGCTTTGTGTTTTGATTTGTTGGTAATGTGACGTGGCATGGTGAGGGATGTGCAGGCCAGGCCTGTGACCCTCCCATCGTGACACTCTGTGTTGTGTTTTGGTATGTTGGTGATGTGGCGAGGTGAGGGATGTGCAGGCCAGGCCCAGGACCCTCCCATCGTGACACTCTGCTTTGTGTTTTGATTTACTTGAAGATCTAAATCTTTTCTAAATAAAAATAGCAAAGCCAAAAAAAAATAAAAAATACTTTGGACTGTTTTAAAGATTTTTCCTCCCTTTCCCATAAACATACTGTAAGAAGAAGTTGGTGATTTGTCTCCCTTGACAGACACAAGAGAGCTTTCTTTTGTGCAGAACAGTTTTACAATTTTCACAAATCAAACATCAAACATGGGCAAATACAACAAAATAACAACAAGTAATATTTAACCAGTTACTGGTTAGTTATACTTATTTGCCTCAAAAGAACTTGAGCAAGCACCACAACTTTCTGAGATATATATATATATAATTTTGAAAACCACTAAGCATATTATATTTTATGAAAATCTTTTAAATGAATTAAATAACCTGCCTCGCGGCTCAATACCAAACATGTTTCAACATATACTGTAAACATGCAGATGGTTACATTTTATTCCCTGAAAAGTCAAATGAGCCAGAAGCCATATTTTACAGTAGCTTCCCAAACACAGGCATATAAGAAGGGTCCCTTTTGAACACAACAAAGTTCACGATAAAAGACCCTCCCTCCTGTGGCCTGGAAGCATAATGACCCCTGGAAACATTAATAACACTGGTTGTGAGCTAAAAAAATAATACAATAAATATTTATTGTATAGTTTATTGATACAAAGGTGTTAGAAATGATGCATCCCAAAGTGCATCTGATGCACCCTTTTTTAATCGGGGCAGCCTCATCGGGAACTTTGATGTCGGTGCACTGATGCAAACTGGTGAATCTTAAAAGTGATAGATAGATACTCTGTGTTGTAAAATGAAGAGATCATGTTTTAATTGTATCATTACTTTGGATATATGGGCTATTCAAAGCTGCTACCAAACACACTGAATGCTCAAAGCGAAAATTCTGTCTGCACGTAAGATGTACTTGAGATTCCAGCATGTATCAGAAAGATAAATCCATATAGAAGAGTTCAAATATATTTTTTAAAGTTATTGAAATTCCAACAATTTTTGGTTGGACAAACTTGCTCATCTGACCCCCATCTTCAATTAAATGTCTCTACATGAACTTCCACATCAGCCATTAGAGTTCTACATGCCTACAGCTCTGTGGGCTCTGGAGTGCCAATATACCTTTAATCTAGTTATAAGCTGTGTGCGACTGTCATAATTAAATATTTCTGAGACCAAGGAAAGCCAACTCATCTAAGAGTAGATTAGTCAGGGCTTCTGAGGGCCAGGTAGCTGAGGGAGGATTGACAAATATTAAGCTGTTATAAAGAATTCAGGTGGCGTATAGGAATGGGTGCATTTCATAGAAAGACACAATTCAATCCAATTCAATTTTATTTATATAGCACATTTTCACAACATTACATCGTCTCAAAGCGCTTTGCATTATCCTTGCCCAGTGAGCAAACCAGAGGTGACAGTGGCAAGGAAAGAAGGAAGAAACCTTGAGAGGAACCACGCGGGAGCCCATCCTCCAGGGGCTGGCCGAGGAAGTTAAATGAACAAGATTACATAGTCAAAATGTTACGATTTCAGCCTCAATGCAGGGGGCAGGTTGGTGATGGCAGACGGATACTGGTGCTGCTTCTGACGGCAGGATGAATGGAGGAACAGCAGCAGGGAGGGAAGGAGAGATGCAGGTCCGATGTCATAGATAGTAGAGGTGTCACAGGCAGCAGGGTACACAGGATATCTTGATTCAGAGCATGTAGTATGCAGTACGATATGGTGTAAGATTTGCTCATGGAAGGACAGCAAAGAGAAATGCAGTGACATGTGCAGTGAGTGGCAGGGAGGGAGCACTTCATAAGTAGGGGGGGTGGAGTATGGCTCAGCAGGTGAGGCTACTCTATCTGTGGTCAGATCACCAGTTTGAATGCCGCCCCCAGCAGAACAGTGACATCGCCACTGGGCCCTTGAGCAAGGCCCTTAACCCCCCTGAAATGCTGCAGGGCTGCCAGGTAAATGGCCTGATCTTGCACTGACACTAAGCTTCACTTTCACCATGTTTATAAAGGAGATCAAGGTGGGATATGTGAAAACAAAAGTGCTCCAAGGTACCTATAGTTGCTTAATTGCAAAGTACTTTATATGGGAAATGGAGTGGTAGTGGTTTAAAGGAAACCAAGTGGGAGGAGGGAAAAGAGTCAAGCTGGTGCCAAAAAAAGGGGAAAGAAAATGCAGAAGAAGTCTAGGGAGCCACTGAACTGTCTGCTGGACTCTGAGACAAACTACTACTCCATGTTACATAATGATAGGGGAATGAGAGACAGGTACAGTGGGGGAGCAAACTCGTCACATGACTTTATCCTGCCCCAAATGTCCGAGTTTCCCTTTCAGACTTATCTGCGCCAATGCAAAACCTCACATGGCTCTGTCACATGTGTCCTCATAGTAGGTGGTGTGTTTACGGCCAGAAGTATCAAACACATGAGGAAATGTAAGTATCTGTGGGTGGACTGGATTCCTTCCCATCATCCCTTGTCTGGCTGCCAAGCAGACATCATTCTGGAGGGAGGCTTCAGATTGTTTTTGTGGGGGTCTGGCTGCGAGTCAGCAGAGGTTGGGCACAGGCCTGTGCAGGCGGGGTTACATCGCCCGTGACAGATGCATTCTGGGATTGTAGTTGTACGAGCAATACAGTGTAGATGGGCATATGCCATCCAGGCTTATCTTTAGCACTAGTGACATAATCTGGCTGTTATAAATAGCATTTGCTAGCAACACAGACCTCTCTGATATACATAACATGGCAGACTTTACATAGTGTATCATTTGATGATGACACAGCAGTCATCTGGAAACAGATTTATTATGTCTCAAAAGAACATGGCATGTTTTACAGTGATTCGCCAAAAATGATTGTAATTAAGAATTGAATATACTCAGGCACTAGACACAAATCATGGCATTGTTTATGCCAATGATTCATGCCAAGTCAACCTGTATCATCCTTAAATCCATCATGACAAGCATTTGCCTGTGTGCGTGACTTGACGCCTTTTCCATTGCCTGTAAATGCTTTCTTGGGTTGTCTGGAAATCAATAGGGCAAACGACAGAACTGCAAACAAAAGGACAAGAATCCAAACAACCATTTCAATTACCCATAATGCTTCAAAGACACCGAGGAATGGCGCATGCTACCCGCCGCAATCTCTCCAAAACATCTCTCCCTGCAAAGAGCTGCAAGGAAAAACTTTTTATTTCGTAAAGCGGCTTTTCGCCTGAGCTTCGCGGTCACTCTCTTCCCCCTTGCTTGTGGTGCTCTGATTACGTCTCTCGGAACATATGCCCTTTCCAATGATATTAATCAATCTCTTTATCGTGGGAGCAGCAAATGAAACCGAAATCATTAACCAACTGCGGAGAAAGAAATGAAACTTCTAATTATCCTGTAAAGGGAGCAGGCCATGCATGTACAATAGGGGAACTGAATCAGGTGAATATTGTTTATTCTTACTTAAGAGACAATGCTGTTATAATCACTAAGAAACAAAGGGGGCCAAGGGGTGTTACCAGCTGTGTTTAATATGCAAATTCAGCAGCACAAATGTAACTATATCGAAATGTACAAGGAAGCTGGTTAGAATCACAGGGGGGTTTCAAACTGATTTTAAAGTGATTTGCAAAACTCTTTAAACAATTGACACAAATGGATACAAATACTAAGTCCTTTAAAATAATTTAACATGCTACAAGAAGTTATAATGAAGCCAATAAACCATGATTAACATTTCTATCTAAAAAGAGTGGGTATCGTGTTGGCGGAAAGTCACATGATATTATTTGTCCAATAACAAGTCAGACACTGATCTGGGTTTGTAATTGAGTGCGATAACGCCCAGGTCTTACCTGTTTTCCACGTGTAGTATTTATCCTTCGGGAACTCAAGGTCGGCCTTTATTTGAATGGCTAGCAGGGACATGAAGAGCAGCAGGTAATTCCCGACCCGCCATGTCAAGGCAGTTGCAGCAAGGTCATCCTTGAGAATCATAGTCTGGCCAATTGACTTTCTGTCCTCTGTTACTCCTGGAGAAGAGGAACGTATATCAGGGGATTTGCGGCACCGTAGCTGCTATTGTATTCTGTGATTGAGGGCTGCATCTGAAGGACTCTTTATAAACATCAAAGTCAAATAGAATATTTACTTACACGTGTCAGAAGAAGCCTTTAACCACCATAAGAGATTCAGTAATTGGTAATACACCACAATACAATTTCCCTTTACTTTACCTAAATTGGAAGCAGTTAAGTATAAGGTCACTTTTTTTTTTTTCTTCTTCAAAGTAAAGCACATATCAACATCTCACCGGGAATCAGAAACATAACCTGAGGTAGAGATTTCAGGTCCAGAGAGTACAAATCCAGACCAAGACTTTGTTTCAACCAACCAGTTGAGTATAGTCACAGTCGCAGAGCACTCAACTGATTGGTTGAAACAAAATCTTGGTCTTGTACTCTCTGGACCCGAAATCTCCACCTCTGAACATAACTTACACTACTACATCTATTCGTTCAGAGGAATTGTGGAACTGCTATGCGATAAATTGAGCTAGTGAGTAAACAGGCAGGGCTGCTTCCAATCCTGCCCTAAAATACACAAACAAAACCTTGAACAAAGGCAGAAGAAAAACAACTAGCTGAGAAACATTTTAAAAAGACTAATTATAAGAACCTTTAATGACTTTTTCACTTTGAAAAATGTGGGTTAATTAGGACTGATTGATTAAGTTCCTCAAAATATCACTTAAACTGTTTTATTGCAGGAGCTCGTTAACTTGAATTTCTGGACTACTGTGGTTCCTATTATCTTAAGGACAAAAGGCTGGGTTAGCCTGCATACCCATCTGGCTGTAATGAAGACACGTTATCCTGCATACTTTTGATTTTTCAGCATGAACATTCGAATTGAACAGACAGAATGACTGTGTCCATTAATTTAAGATTATTATTTTTTTGTAGTGACATTGGTTTAAGTCTGAAAAGCTGAAAAGACAAATAAGACACTTCCACTTTCCACCTCTTTTTAAATAAAGTATTTTTAAGTGCTTTGCATAGAACACAATAGTTTTGTCACCAGCAATGTGAGTTGGGTGAGGATGCATCACAGTTAAGCTCCCAGCCTTAAGCAAACTTGTTATTAGTGAAGAGGCTCAATGGAAACTCCCTCTCTTTTAGTCTGTTGCTATGGAAATCCTGAAATCTGGGGTTTCTCCTTTAATCTGAGAGATGGCATTTCATATTTCACAATGTACTGAGGCCGGGGATATTGTGTCTTAATCATAATGTAATCCCCATCTTTCAAAATCAGCCTCTACATCCATTCTGAGGGTATTTCGTGGTATGCACATAATGAATTACGTTCATCTGAACTTTCTTTTCTGGACAGCTGAATAAGAAGATATGGGATAACCAAATACTATGTGGATTATTTTAACATGATTTCCCAGTAAAGCCAACTGCTCAAAACTCGTTTTTGGATGATTTCATTCAGGGAAATTTGATTCCTATCTCATCGCCTTCACTGCATTCCACTGCTGCGTAAATCTGATTTCAGAGAGAGGGAAAGTGATGGATTAAAAAAAAATGGAAAGAAATCTCTTGCTCTCCTTGGCGCAGTCGTTAGTGAGAATGCCAGGATGTTAGTGCAGACAGCGATAAATAAACACGGGGTGACAAGGCGATTTATCCAGGCTGTAGACGCGCTCGCGCAAACACTCGGCAATTAAGGAACTGCCGCCCCCCCCCATATCCGGGCATTCATCACGTTCCCTGAGGGGTGGGTCCTTAGAAAACAGTCGATCCGTCCCGTCCCTCTGTGGCCTGAACCTGTCGTCACCTGAATGTCATTTGGGACTAGAAACGCTCCTTCCTTTGCAGAAGGACCCGTCAGGAACCACGGACCATGTGATCGACCACCAGTCCATGGAGAGCTAGCGCGGCAAAAAACAAACGGGGCCCTTTCTGGATGTGTCAAAAGGAGCATTTTAAGTGTTTAAATTCATGGTTCACATTCTGCGAAGTTTAGACATAGTTTATCAAATATCCTGCCACTTGGGGAATGTGGAGGAACTTGCTGGAGTGATGGATGTTTGCTATTTTTGTAGAGCCCGGAGTTCCGAGCAAGGTGTTAATTCATACAGTATCTACCTGCAGTGCACCCCTCCCTCCCACACCCACAAAATCACTCCCTCCCCCTGAGCAACATGGACCTGAGAGTCCTCAGAGTACCGAAGCATCGTGTTCTTCTTCAGAACATCTGGGTCAAACGAAACCTGCACGGCGTTTAGCATAAGCTCTAGCTGCAGCGGCTGGTTGGGCCAAAAAGAGGGAACCTGTCGGAACATTCCGGATATTACCGAGCAAAGCATTCTCAAAAGGAGCCTTGTGTTCCTGTTAAAATTCCGAAACGCTTCACAAATTGCTTTGCTGTTAGTGGGGGTCAGATCTTCCTCAACTGACTCGGTTTACAGGTGGCCCCAATAATTTATGCTTGATTGCATCGACTCAACAGGCACTAACTGACACTGACAGCTTCAGGACTATGGAGATCATATCGCACTGCACACACTGCGAGGGCTGAAGCCAGTGCAGCTGGAGAGGGCTAAAGAGACGATATTACGAGGCCAGATGCTGCCCCTTCTGCACTTGGTTTATTTTGCTCATATTAATTTAACTTTCAGACTCTGCCTGTCATATTTCCTCCCAAACTGTTTCAATTTAACCAGCACCAGTATTCCCAGTGATGCTGTTGTAATAAAATGGAGTTTATATCTTTCTTTATGTCGTTATATAAAGAGGTCTTGTCAAATTTACATAAGTGAAGTCTTACAACTATTAGAATTGAGACACACGCACAAGGAACACTGCAGTAAGCAGAGAGACAATTTATCCTATTACAGTGAAGCATATTCACTGGTACATAATAAGGAAATTGAAAGCAATAATTCACGTCTTACATTTTTTATCATGTTCATCATTTTGAGATCAACAAACGATGAAAGGTTGAAACTTCTCTGTGATCCATTTTTAACTCGTATTTGGATCTAGTTTTTAAGCAAGCAGCTTTAGAATTTGGAAAGAATTTGGAAAGGGCTGATGTCTATGCAGGTCAAATGCATTCAGTATTTCTGAAACGCCAGGACTTTGCTTTTAGCTTAGAAAGTGACCTCAGGATAATTAAATACTTTTTACAACTTTAGATATGGATCAAATACTTCACTCTCATATAACAATAAGGCCAGCAAGGGACAGGGGTCTTTTGTAACTATGAGACTTTTGAAAACAGCCCACATTTCAGCTGACTTCTATAGTCTATTTTCCTGTTTGATTATGTAACTTGGTTAATCCTTATTTATTAATGTGACTAGAACACTTCTTTTGTTATGATTAATGTGTATATTATGTATAATGTGTACAACATGACTAAAGGGACCAATGAACTGTAATGTGGTGAGAAAATGAAGAGGTTAAACTGTATGGCTCAAAGTGTTTACATACATTTAATCATTTAGCCGACACTTTGAAACAAAGTGACGTACAATTGAGAAAGCAAGGTCAAACAGTACTTGGAGAAACTGGGGTTCAGGGGGAAGCTGAAGCCAAACAGCGGCATCAATCTTCCTACCCTGGGATTTGAACTGGCGACCTCCCGATCCTAATCCGCTGAATCACACACCGTGAGAGATGTGCCAATTCGGTACTTTAATCTCAGGAAATACTATTGTGTAACTGCGAAGACCTTTTTTGGCAAAGACCATGTTTGTCCACAATCACACAGATTGGGTGCTTTTCCAGTACCCAGCTGGTTTGGAACTTTTGGTACAGGAAGTTTTGGTACTGGTACTCGACCGGAAGTCAATGAAAAACTGAAATTGCTAAAAGTGCTGTACCAAAAGTATGGTACTTGGTGCGGTAGAAAAGTACCCGCTGAAAAATTCTGCAAGGTACCCCAGCTCTAAAACCACAATCTGCTTCAGCTTTCATTTGAAATTCAGTGTAGGTACTGTAACACACAGCTGGATCTGCCATTACAGCACAGTGGGATAGTATACACTGCTTTTCATAGCTAAGGCAGGACTTATCCAGAAACAACCAACGGGTGAAAAAAAAAAAACTGTACATACGCTAGACAGCAAAGGACATTAGGCTATAAAAAACAACTCTGAGGTGGTTTTAGCATTATTTAATTCATTGTCACCTCACTGCTGTTTATAATACATCCGTTCGTATCTGTAGACAATGGCACACACTTGCCAATAAAAGAACCAAAGCACAATAGTAACAACAAATAATCGATAATCGACTGGGAGCAGATGTGTTATTCCAAACATACCTGAACCTGAAGATCTCCAGGCATCACTTTGTTGGGACAGGTAGGTGCAGCCAGAGCTGCTCTTCCTCGTGCTGGTGGCAGGAGCCTGATCAGATGCTCAGTCGTACACGGCCGGGAGATAAACACAACCTTGTCTCCCTTCTGACGCATCATCCGGCAGCTAATCTTCTGTGACTCCCTCTGTGGAAGATCAGCGCGTGAAGGATGCTCCTGTCACAGGATTCCTGACAGTCAGCTCAGATAACCTGGGTCAAGAATCCACAGAATGATAATTCTCCAGGGACCAGTCCAAGAAGTGGAGAGGCTGTGAAGGAAGAAGCGGAGGCGTTTCAGGAAGGAAACATGCAACAGATCTCCGGAAAGCATGGTATCCTTCATATTATGGGCAACTCTAGCTCTGGTCTGTCTTCAGTAGCATATCGAACCCTTTTCGGAGGTCAGCTTCAGTAAAACCATTGAGTAATTTCAGCATGCTAGTACCAGTGATCAGTGCTAATTCATGCTGCGGTTAGTCAAAGTATTTTAAAGTAGTATTAATGCTCTATGCTTGCGCAAGCTTGAAGTTTTTAACCAGAATCAGAAGCTTCTACTCTATGTCATTTTGAATTTTGCTTGTTTGCCATACAGTATTGTGTGTTCCACTAATTTCTTTAGCCAACAGTCTTACCCAAAGCAACTTAGACAGCAAAAAAATAATTCTGGTCACCTTTCCAGCTCAGGACAAGCAGCCTATTTGCCCTACTTAGCTTTTAACCTATCATGGGCAGGTGATAAAAGCACCACCCAACTTAATATCTCATACTGTAACTCCCCAGCTGGCACAATCCTCAAGTAAAACAAATTCACTGGCATAAGTGCATCTATCTGTATGCATTTTCCTCACATACACATATGACATGCCATTTCCCATTTTTTTCCCTGTAGTTTATCTACTGACCAATGTTTTGAAAATGAGTTTCCAGAACCAGAAAGCAGGAGGAGAATTTTTTTCCACACAGTTCCTGGTCTGAGACATTCTAGGGGCTACATTTGTATGGACGACCAAACAATCAGTTTAGGAATTGACCCTAAGTCATTGATTTGTACAATTAAACATAAACATAAAATGAAATGATCAGAACCAACCACATATGGATTTATGAGTTTTCAGTCTACTCTAGGCAAAACATTCAGTTATTACCGTCAAAAGTGGAATGAACCTGGTTCTGGGTACTTCTCCTAGTGAATCCCTGGTTCTATTAACACCACGTGCCTGTGTTCGCACGTTCCGGCTCACTCTGCTCACCAGTCTCTTTTCTTCACTTCTATTGACTTTCCATCCCATGCCTCAGTACTCTCAAATCTAGCTAACCTCACATTCTGAAAGCTTCTAAGTTCTTTGCCTTATCCCCACCATTGGGCCCCGAGTAGAGCCGGCGCATTTCACCTTTTCAAGCTGTCTTCAGTGAAGGAAAAAATAATATATGTATCTGAGCGGCCCGAAGTATTGAATATGCCACCTTCTTATCATAATAAAAGAGGAATGAGCGAGATCATCAGCCTGGAGTCTCATGATGCATGTGTAGGAAACAAGTGATAACCACACGATTGTAAAACCAAACAAGTGATGTAGTAATTTCACAGTTCTGTAAAGACCTATTGTGGATCATCTGTATGCAAACTCAGAAACAGACAATACTCATAAAACTAGGATATGTAAAGTATCACAAATAATTGGAATTGGGAAACAGCAACACCAAATTTATGTTATAGTCCAAAACAAACTGCTAGATCACCATTAAATCATTGCTAAATCTTTACAAACCTGTTTATGTGTTCAACTAACACAACACAATTAACATAAAGTCCCAGATTACAACAATGAAACCGTGTATCTCTAAAAACAAAAGGATTTGTTGTAAACGTGGTTTGAAGGTGTGCTGCATGCATTCATACATCGCACATTCCACACCTAAAAGATGTATTACAGGTGGAAGAATGAAGACTGAATCAAATCAAATGCACGATGTTTCAAATGCAAACACAGATCCAGATTTAAGTGAGCAAGGTAGACAGCACCCCTACTGTGGATAGATTATTTTGAGCTACGAAGGAAAAACTTCTTTCCATCACGTACAGTAGCAGACGGGTATCGAACGATCCCGTCCAGCCAAAGATTGCTTCCGTTTCTAGATGTTCATGTAGCTGTTTTTCGTTTAGCAACTTAAGTGAACTTCAGTGGATTAATATGACATTATTTAAAGGCATAAACCTCCGTGTTCATGGAATGTCTCATGTTATTACGAGATCCTGGGTACAACAATAAGACTTTTCATGATGGACAACCGCCAAAGGGGGGGGTCATTGTTTACCAGTTTTTCTATACAACCCTTGTGAGTTCTGAGTGTAGCTGGAGGACAGAAGATGACTCAAGACACTCCTCTGATCTATGGCGATAATGTTGATGACAAAGAAACAGGGAGGTCCACCAGTTGCTGGGGAAGTGGGGGTGTCTATGGAAGAAATACCATTAGTCAGTCCGTAAGCACTGGTATGACAAATTACAAAGCAAATGTGTTTAGACATTAAATATTTTATGAAGCAAAGCTGAGCAACAAAGATATATTATTATCAGAGTATGCTGTATCAAATCGATTTTAGCAAATCATCAAGAGAAATTTCCACTTTTTAAAGATTAATTAAATGTATGCTTTCATACAGTTACTTTGGTGCATGTGGCTTGTTCCCAAGACAAATGGCTTTGACAGGAAATATATCGTTCCAGGAGAACTTAATTAGAAAGAGGACTCTGTTTTTAACATTAACATAATTATCTACTAGTTTGTTCATTTGTGTTTTTCTACATTTAACAACCTGAAAGTGGATAACGGTTGGTTTTCTGTCAAACTTTTAAACTTTTATTAGTAATGAACTTAGAAATCATGTTCTCGTACATACAGAGATCAAAAGAATATTTCATTTAACGTATCGCCTATAAAACCTAGAGAAGGCCGTCACAACGACATTATTTTGACCATCATTTATTATTGTGGGATAAAATTCATGCTTTATTAGTGCATACTCTCTCTTTTATTCATCAGTATAGTCTAATCATGAATACTTCAGCACTTGTACATAAACTATTTTCAAGATAATAGCTTCAGAATTTTATGTACAGACACATATAAATTACAGTTTTATTGAATTGTTAAAAAGTCTTATAAAATGAGAAAATTTTAAGCACAGCTATATAAAATAATTCTTGTCTCCTTAATGACTTAAATTACCACACAGCCCTGTAATAGATAGGTGGCTGTTAGGTGGATGCGTAACTCGAATAATTTAATAGAGATCTTAAAAGTTTTATAAAATGTAACTGATAAACCCACAGGGCACTGCTAGTGCCTGGTTAAACAAGCCGCTCATTTTAATTTTGACAGGCTACAAATAATCAATGACGTGTGATTTAGTGCTGGAAATAATTCTTAGACATTTCACTGCTGGTGACAAATGGTCTCTGTATGTTCAGAACTATCTTACTGAAAAGCTCCACATATAAGCTGCAGGCACAGCTCTGAGAAAATCAGCTGGCTCATCAGAAGATACCCAGAATTCCTGAAAGCTAAGAGAAAGAAATGCTTTGAAGAACACGATCGCTGACAAAGCAGATAACCTCTTTCAAGGGTCATTACTTCAATCCAAATTTTGTTTCAAAATGTAACAAGTTACAGTTTCTGAAGCACATCAGTTGTTCAGTTCAGATTATCAAAAATCCTTTTCTCCAGCTCCAGGCTTATAAATAAAGGCAAGATTCCTAGATTCTGCATTGTGTTGGATCTGTTGCTCGGCTACTTATTCTCATGCCGAAAGAGGACAATGCTGCAGATGGCCATTAACTGAACGTTTCTCGCACCGTACAGCTGACAGACATTGCATGCTGGGACACTACCATTCTGAACAGTGCCACGAGGATAGGCAAGGCCCAAGGCACAGTGCCTCAAAATGCTGGCATTTCTGTAGGTCATAAGTAAGTAACGACATGATCGAGATATTGTCTTTGCTGGATCAACACTATGTGAGCTTTTTTAGAATACGCTCAGCATTCAACCTTATTTATGTACCAAAGAGATCATAATATCCTTATATTTCCAGGAACACATAACAAGGCTATTGTTATGTCCTATTGTTGTTGTCCGATGGTGGCGATGGTGGTGCAGGAGGTAGTGCTACCGTTCGGCAACCAGAAGGTTGCAGGTTCGAGCCCCAGGTTCTCCTGACCCCATCGAAGTGTCCTTGAGCAAGACACTGAACCCCAAATTGCTCCCGGTGAGCTGGTTGGCACCTTGCAAGGCAGCCTCCGCCACCGGTGTGTGAATGTGAGGCGTACATTGTAAAGCGCTATATAAATGCAGTCCATTTTGTCCTATTAACACATGAGTTACAAACATTTCCCATTAGAATCTGGATAGTGGAGTGTCATTAGACAGGTCAGGACAGTATACAAAGAGCTTTGACAGGGTCTGATCTTCGGTCACAGTAGACAAGACTCATGCGACGTTTGCTGCAAGTTTATCAATAATTGGTTCAATAGCTTCTTAGTGGCTTCTGATTGGTTGTATTGGTAAGCGAATCATTTATATTCAGGTCATCGGAGGGGCAAAGATTCATTTGGTGTTGTTTGGCTTTCTCAATGAAAACGTCATAAATGCAAATTAGCTGGTGATCTCCTAACCGAGGAAAGGAAACATTTATTCATAAAGTTTAGTGAGATCTAGAATTACCCGTGCTGAGAGCTATTAACACACAAAATACATATTAAGTATTTAGGACATACGTTAACACATAGTATATAAAAATTTTGTCCATTTTGCCTTACTGCTCATCTAGGACAGGGATCCAGTCACCCTGGATCCCATCCCAGGGAAGAGACATGGGAAACAAGGCAGGGCACACCTTGATCAGGATGCCAGTTTATCACAGGGCATACCTTGATCAGGATGCCAGTTTATCACAGAGTACACACATATCAAGGGCAAAGGAAAGACATCAATTCAGCTAAACCACATGTTTCTGGACTGGGGGAAGAAACCAGGGTGTCCAGAAGACAGCCACGTGAACCTGCAAAAACCACACATGTGGAGCCCTGGGGCCAAACTGAGCCTACAGGGCACACTGCCTACCAGGAAGCTGGGATATATTACACACCAATAATTCAGAAGTGTGTATAATGGGGAGTTAAAGCAGCAGCATGCTGGAAGCCGATTGCTTGTTTCTTTGTTTATGTATCATTGTCATAACCAATTTGGATCTGAGAAACCAAATAAA